ATTTCCTGCAGAGTTGATGTTTGGCAAAAACCTCAAGACAAGGCTACATCTACTCTCTCCTAATCAACAGGTGAGGATAAAAGAGCCACCGCAGAAATCAGTGTCTTCAGATGAGTTGAAGAATGATAAGTATATGGGGGAAATGGCTTGATCTACACTGAATTGCCACAAAAGCACACCAGTAACCTGCCACCGTAATTCGTTCCTCGGGAAGCCAAAACCAGATTCAACTTCCAGACGGCCATCTTATTCGTCAGCATTCGGACTACGTTTGTCCACGTAGTTCAGATACACAGAACGAGGAATAGACCGAGTTGTGCGCATACAAAGAACCATGTACTGTGGGCGAATCGTATGGACAGGTTAGCGAAACGCTGCCGAGGCGATCTACTCGCGTTCCAAAACCAGTTAATCGTTTTCAGCCGGGACTGTGACGACTTCTACGGGGGCGAAGAATGTCACAAGCGCACTAAAGATCAGGCCCTAATCCACTCAGGTGGATGTACACCACACATATATAGTTGGTTGCATCCGGTTTCGGATTTGTCTTTCACTGTGGCCAGCCAAAGGGAAGAGGGAAGGAAGAGGGAAGAGCCAAAGGGGAAGAGTTATCCTGCGGTATTTGGCCGGTTCAGCGCGGTCCTAAATTACAAAGCTTTCGTAAACACGTATATATGTAAAGCAACTGGGTGAGTTTCAGCTTACTGTACTCAGAATGACAAAAAGCACGCGTACACGCCACTCAGCGGAGATCAAGAGCAGAATACTGGAGACTTATGAGAAGGGAAACAATTGGGAGCAACTTGCATGTATACTAAGCATCAACCCGAAAACCCGCCGCAGTTGGTTACGAAGAATGGAATCAATCGAACAAAGAGCGAAGCATGGTGGGGGCGACGAAGATCTCTAGCAGAAAGCCACATTGTTTGCCTGATAGAATGAGTGTCGTCAGAACCAAAGGTCACTCTCCAAACACTCCACCTGCGCTTGAAAGCTGTGTTGATGCATGAGATGAGCGTTAGCACCATAGCGTAACACTTGGACGGGAGGTTGGTAACAATGAAGAAATTGCACGCAGTTCCGGAATCTGCGAACACATAAAAGAAAAAAGGCGACGAAAAATCCTTTGTTTACCGAACAGTAGTAGGAGGATTTAGTCTAGGAATTCATAACCGTTAGTCTCATTCAGACAACCATCTCACGCCCGGAAAAGCACTGTACCGTAGTTTCCTCCGTTCGAGAATCGTACCTCAGTGGTCTTAACCACGGATTGGTAACAGTCGAGTGGCGGGTTCGGGCACTACATGGGCCAGATGGAATGCGCACTGCTGACGCTTCCCGACACTTCTATGTCTAGGCACTGCTGTAGTCGGAGGTCGAAGGGAGACGAGCAGTGTTTATTGATGAAATAAATTGCGGTCTCTTTTGCGCTCTCACCAGAGTCCGTTCACCGCGTGCAAGTCGTGTGCTGGGTCAAGTGCCCGACACCCAAGGACGATACCTTCATCTAATTGGAGCCCTGATGACCGATGGCTTGATAAAGTATACTATCGGGAGAGGAAGTTAAAACAAAGAAAGGTGTGCGCAGTGGTTGCGCGGACTGTTGGATGCCATGGGTTCGGCTTTTGTTGAAAACTGCCCCCTGATCTGCGATAACGCCATGCCACACGAATCTGGAACGCGTATGCAAGGAGAGTCGTACCGTTTGGACAGCCTCCTGCGCCTTCCACCATATTCTCTACCACTCAAAACAATTTGGAGCATCATAAAAACATACGTGAAACAAGCTATGAGGCAGAGATATTCCGAGATGCTCCAGCGAGATCCTAAGGATGACCTTTACAAGACCAAGTGAAGAATGTGTTTCATTGAGAGAATTGTGTCAGGGGCACGAGTCTACGTGACGTCTCAACACTGCCAGCATATGATAGATAAGGTGAGGAGGAATTACGCTCGCGCAATGCATTGTACTGATTTGTAAAGTGCTCCCATTTCGTTAGTATAAATGTATATAATTGGAACTGGTGTTTTCATTGATATGCATCACAAAGCCATTGATTCGACATGCAGGTATAAGCGATAGTGTTCAGGCTAAGTGCTTTTACAGCTAGTTCCCGGATGCTTTTGCGTTAAGCGTCGCAAAACAACCAGAGAGCATCCGGATGATTCCTAGTGAGCAGGACTATCTTGCTGCTACTGATGAGAGGTCATTTGTTGTAACGTACTATATTGTCGCGAGATGATTGTACATAGTTGGTATCACGAAGATGAATACAGTGCGTAAAAAAGGAAGTCATTCTGTTGATCGTTAGGTTAAACATCATTGCGGAAATCTTGAAGTTGCATTGTACTGTAGGTTACATATCGCCGCGTGAGGACAGACACTGTGATGTACGCTAAGACAACGCGTCGGATGTAAGTCACTGATCCATCTCGGGACGCGAAATAGATGTTTATCGCTTATTGTCAAGCAGTTCAGAGGGTTTTGCGATCGACTGGGTTTGCTTCAGTGCCTAAGTTGTGCGAATGTATGCTGCGCATCATGAGTCGTCCGCTAATTGCCAGCAGGGCAGCGTTCAGTGAATACGAACCACCCAAGAGACCAAAGCAGACGTCATCGCGATTGCCTACATTAACCACTCCCTCCACCCCACCAATGCAGACACCTTATGACAAGTGCAGTGCAGTGCTTCACCGTTACTTCGGGCTAGGTTGTATGAGATACTGCGTTCGACTTACGGTGTACAGATCTTTCGCTACATACACGCCTAAAGAATGAAGCAATCGTATCACGGCATGGGCCATCTCAGCAGTGTGCCGCCCATGATGATTTTCCCTTACCCAAGTGACTAACTGTCAACCCAATTTAGTGGCAAGTTGCGCAGGCTACTTAGATCGCTTTGTTCACAAGCACTACATAACATTTTGTCACCCCAGACCCCGATCATTCGCAGTCATACACCTGTGACTGTCTTGACATCCGGACACACCGAATCTGCCCGAGCGCTGGTAGGTTGTCCTAACAGTGTCATCCTACGACCTTGGTTTTCTGATGTTCTTATTCGGAATGATAAAGGGGATTGCATGTAGAAAATTATGTTCTCGAACTTCCCGCTTCGTAGTGAAGATGCAAATTATGGCGAGCGATTAGTTGCAACTAACTGAACATATACCAGTTACCAAGTAAATATCTCTGCTAAATCACCATGTCACACTCCATCTTAGTGGTACGTTCATCATTTACTCTTTCTCTCTTCATTACGGCCATCCTACGGGACACCTCAAGCGTTATCTACTTGACCCATTATATACCTTTGTATTGACATCTGCGATTGTGGACTACATGTTCACAGGCCGTTAGGTAGGAAATTGTGTGTTATCGACCTCGCGGAATTGTGGGCTTTGCAGGTACAACTACCGTAGGAAGAAACTGAGGTGTTGCTCTGCTGTATGCTGTGTCGGCCAAGTACCTTTGCTGGAGAAGAGGCGGTGTAATGGACAGACAAAATGTCGAGCAACGATGGAGTGACTCCCATGTGTGAAGATACTGGGTACAGGATACGAATTCAGTTGATACGCACCGACTTGCGTGTCAGTTACCCTTACGTTCGGTCCGCACAAGTCCGCCCATGCATGTGCGTACAGATCAGTCGATGCAAATTTCCGACAGTCCGGTCGTAGTATCTCAGCTGATTCAGGGGCCATCAAGTCGGTGTACTGCATCCACCATGAGGGTAACAAGGCAGGGCCTACTCACATTGTAACCAAATGTCCACCGTTGTATTTCGGCACTAGGCCGCTCAGCAGGCCGCCACGCAAGACGACTCTCTATAACCCAAGGCGGCCACCTTCCAACCGGTATTTCGGTTGCACAGGCCCCTTTCGTCGCTCCACCCGCAAGCCCGTCACATCACCCTCGTCATACGCAGCCAAGCACCTGTGACTGCCTCACTATCGTATGCCCGAGCGTTGATAGGTCATCCAAAACCTTGGGCTGCGCCAGTGCCAAACTAGCAATAAGATCGCTAATGGGGTGTTACATTACCTTGTTCGCAGCCCCCACCCCCAACTTGTGCCGTTCGCAAGGCATGCTTTACATACATGGTAGTCCACTTACGCACACTGAACCCTCCACCCAGCCGCATCACGTGTTTGGACTACCTTGTGTCCCTAAGCTGTGTGGAACTAGCTTCAGATTAGGCACCGTTGCTGGATGGAAGCTAGACCACCCACGCGTCCCTATCACACACCATCAACCCATACATTTATGCAAGGGTTATTACATCTACCGTCATTGGCTGCCTTGGACTAGCTCAATTCCAAGATCATTGCGCGCGCTTGGTGCGTCGAAATGATACTGGATGCAATTCAAACACGTTAAACATGATATTCAATTGGCTTGCGCATGCAAACCAGAACCTGATGAGAGGAAATTACATCGAAGCGCGTCGTGGTTGTGCGGTGTTTTCGGGTGGGCAACACCCAATTTCCATCTGCTTTGACTACGGTCCCAGTGATCGCCGTGACTAAGGTTCACTTCAATGTGAATCACAGTCCATTACATTGAGATTGCGCGTCGGAATCCAATCACACAACGTGCACTCCCAACTTGACCCTCCAATTAGTCATTTACCGTTGTGCCAAGCGTTACCCTCCGTGACCCGGTAGCCAAAGGGGTAGAGGTTTCGGCTACTATTCCAATGTTCGCGGGATCGAGACCTGCTGTCTCCAACTGATGTGATGAAATTACATCGAAACGCGTCGTGGTTGTGCAGTGTTTTCGGGTGGGCAACACCCAATTTCCATCTGCTAACCTGGCACTGTTTGCCCTAGGCATATCTAAGACATTGTTACTCTATTCTTGGTGTCTCAGTGTGCCAAAGTTCGATTTCCTCAATCTCCGTCTATTTATTGAAAGTAATCTTACGGCTTTTGTGCCGTCGTAACATAGTGGCATTTCTACGTTGCTCTGATATTGTTAGTTCTCTGTTGTTTCTTAGTTGGAGGCCTTTCCAACAAACATGACTATGCTGGAAATGACTCGAAAACTTCGCATAGAGAGAGAAAAGGAGATAAAAGTTTCAAAACAAATCCATGAACAGAAAACCTCGGTAAGTTGTCTACAGATGCTTAATTACTTTTCATGTGAAAACACCGTATAAGTCCTGTTAACATTACGATCAAATATTCTTGGGAAACCTTAGGTCGAACTTGCGCAGGAAACAACTCAAATGATTGCTTGCTCAGTTTCTTTTATCTTGATAATGCACTTAAATAAATAATCCGTAACACGACTGAAGCCTTTTTCATATTGCTTACTAATTTAGTCGTGTATACCCCGCCTTTTGATACACTCGTCTTAATGAAGATATCCGTTAGCATCTTTATTAGCCTATTAAATAATACTATTTTTATCGTGAGCTCATCGCAGAGAGTTTCATGTCAACTAGTCCTATACACACCCTGAAAGATAAAGTAAATAAGTAAATCGCCAGCTGTACGCCGTAACGGGGCTTCGCTGCCACGCGACCACCACCAGTCGCGCGTGGGCTGAGTATACCGCGAGGACGCCCGCCCCTACGCGGATTCGAACCGGTGGCCTTATGGTTGCAAACCAGACGCCCATACCACTCTTCCACCGGCCGATACCCTGAAAGATACCGGGTGAACGTCTCGTTCTATTGGAACTCATCAGTGGTGCACATTCCACGGCTCTATCAGACTGGTAATGATGAGTCGTACTACCTGGAAGTTAGCTGAGTCGAAAATTACATGTGTAAACCCTAGAGTCGGTAAGGTGGATGACGGTACGTGATAGGAGCAGACTTCGAGTCCGAAAATCTGGGCGATTTTTTACCTCAGGGCATTGGCTGCTTCACCAGCGCTTTGTGCCCTGCCGTCTGTTGTGAATTGTGGGGATGCTGTGTTTTACTTTACCAAGGCGGTTGACAAGTCCGCACAGTAGTTTGTTATTTGGCTAGGCACTGTTGATAAGTTACATTGCCCTCGTGGACAAGCGTGGTACATAGGTTGCAGTAGGTTAGAAACTTCCCCAAATTCTATGTGTTGAGGTCTCTTCTAAGCATGCCATGCTGCATCGCTTATTGCCATGCATTTTTATTTCTACTTCTGAGAACTGACGGCACTTCTGCGGAACCACATGGCTTGGTTTCCGATGCTTTTTTGGCCCTATATTGCTGAGCCTTGCAACGAACTGTCCAAACACTGTCAAGGGGACTCTTGTTCGAGAATTCTCAAGTATGATCTCCATATGATCTGTTAGAACGCAGTAGGGTATGATTGCATGAATCAATTCTGTATGTTTAGATGGATACTCTGTATAGCAAACATATTATCACTACTACATATTATTATTACATGGTGTTTGAGGCCTTCTGGACTCCCGAGTGTTAAAGTGTTGCTGAATCTCGCGCGAACTCCATAAAAGCTGTGTTGCAAGATGACCGAAAACAATGGGATTCCAGATGTTTACTAACAGGCGTCCAAGCTAAACCGTCTACCTTGGTACGCATATTAGCCGATCTTCCTTGGAAATGTCATCCGAAGGAAGCGGATAACCAAGGCAACCCTCCTAGTAGCGATAGCAAGAAAGCCATGTTTGTTCTTAGTGTTTCCGAACTACCGGATTCTCCTGATCACGTGACGCAAACACAAGATCTAGAGTAGTGGTGCTGCATCCGCGAAGCACTTTCTCTAAACGATGTTATCGCGAAACTATTGACGAGAATTCCTTCATCACCTGACTACAAGGACTACGATTCAAGAATAATGAAAATGATTCTACACTCCAAGGGAATGATACAAGTTCTAGTGGATAACTGGTCGAAGTTTCGTGTTAGTTTGTCAACCGAGATCCGGTTAAAGACATCAGGCGCATGGCCACGAATAGACAGCTATCCGATGGAACTTGCAACCGCCGTAAATTCTTTATCTCCACTGTCCTGCGGAGAGACCGACACAACAGCCCCAACGACACCCAACATGACAGAGCGAAGCACAAATGAACATCCTGATCTGGAACACTCTCTGAGGCCATGCAGCTCAACCGAAATTCATAAACCGACGACCAAGCAAAAAACCGCTTAGAGGCCGATTACCTGACGGTCGGCTTAAAATCTAGAACGAATATGATATCTATCAACGCACTCCTAGCATCCAAAACACTATCATGTTTCTACCCTATCGTCCAAGGCCTTCCAAGTACGTTAGTTGAACTTGTGGAACGCCAGGCCTCACAACCGCGTGATCTCGTTATGATTACAGAGACCTGATCAAACCTTGAGATAACCTATTCTAAGATCAACCTACCCGGTATGTCTATGCTTCGGCACGGTAGAACTGGAAGGGGTCGTGGTGTAATACTTTATTACACGGTGCGTCAGTATCTCTGTCCTCTTGCTACCCCTTAAAACAGCACGCCTACTGTGAACATGTCTCGTATGAAGAACAAATGCGAATCATGTGCTAAAGTGGTAAAAAATGGTCTGAGGTGTACCATGTGTTTGAAATCCTATCACACTACCTGCCTTGGGACCGGATCGACAAAAGCAAACACGGCAGAGGCGTTTGGGTCCTGCCAAGTATGCAATTCTATCCCATTTGTTAGCTGTGTAGCTGTGCCACTGGAGAGGTGTGAAAGACTAACAGAAGCGGTCGAGCAACTGGTGAGTGCCAAAGTTACATCCATGGAAGGAAACGGACCTGCACTTGTGAGTGAAAACAACACCCCGAATTCCCTAGTCAGACCGACGAAGCGAACCAGGCGTCACAACCTAACCCCCACGACTCAGCCTCCAGCAGTATCAACTCCATTCTCTCTCCCTCCTATTAGTAAAAACAGCGCCTGCAGCGCGCCTGCCTCAACTTCTGTACTGTGTGCTGCACCTAGTAGTCTGTTCGTTACACACGAGACCGTTAGCTCCAGTCAACCAGCAATAATGAACAACCCAGCAACGTACGCATCGGTTGTCGCCAAGCAAACACCGGAAAGAGCACCGGTAACCTTTGTGTCCTGACTACAGAAAACAAATGTGTCGCAGCACGGATGGCACCCATCAGTGCCGTTCACAAATTCACCAAAAACACCGGATACTAAGCCTCCAAATCCAAAACCAGTAGCCACCAGGCGCAACCGTGGTGCTCTAAACCTTGTGTGCACAAATGTCCCCGAATCCAAATCCAATACAATTAAGGGTAGGTTGACGGACGATCGAAATCAGTGGGGTTCCATCTGTACGTTGATCGGTGTACATGCCAATCCCACGATAGTAAAAAGAATCTCGCGTCACCCAAACGTGTTGCACTACGGCGAACCCCGGTTACCTCGGGTAACACTAAACTCGGCGGACGAGACTGAGGCCGTTCTGCTGTCTGCGAATCGTCTCCGCAACGACTCAAGTGGAGTGCGCATACTACCTGAAATCCCGTGGAAAGAACGTTCAGGAGATCCCACTAACAGAGAGAGGTACAGAAAGAGTCAAGATAGGAAAACAGTGATTGCTCACGGTGTTCCTGAGCTTACTGATTCCTCTTCTGACGATGCTCAGATGCACGATCGCGAGCAATGGCACTACATCCGGGAGGCTCTTTCTCTCGAAAATGTCGTAGCCACCTCGTTGACAATGATCCCCATATCACCAAACTATAAGGACTGCGGTCCCCGGCTGTTAAACTTGTGTTACGTCAGAACTAACGGCACAAACCTTACTAAAGAACTGGACTAAATTCCGTTGCAGATTGCCAACAGAAATTCGTCTGAAAGCAGCGGGAACACCAGCGCTTTCTAATGACAATTCACTGGAGGCACAACTCTTAATGAAAACACCAACTGCAGGACCCGACTCGGGGACGGTTTCAACAGTAGCCGTAATATCCGGAGGGACACAGCAAGGCACGAGCAAACACCGGGATCCGGGGCATCTGATATTTGACTACATACCAAATTCGTCTCGAGAGTCTGCAATCCATCCAAAAAACGATTAGCCGCCGACCCTTTATTGGTCGGCGTAAACTCACTTGCTTCATCCAACCAATCTAACAGACTTTTGATCTCCGAGAAGCTCTCATGCATGTACACAAATGCTCAAGGCCTACTCAGCAAGTTAGTTGAATTAAGACTTCGACGCGCTTCAGCATCTTGGGACCTCATCGCTATCACCGAAACCTGGTTGCGCTGTGAGATAACGGATGCTGAAATCGCGCTAACGGGCATGTCCGTTGTCCGGAAATATCCAGCCAGCAAAGGTGGTAGGGTAGCCCTCTACTTTCGTAACAACATGCAATGCGAACCCATAAACGATTCGGAAACCGACGTACATGACGCCATTTGGTGTAATTTCCGGCTGAGAGGGAACGATCTTGGCCTATTGGTTGTTGTTTACCGCCCAGCATCGTCTACTCCTGAGATGGACTACAACTTGGTGGCTGCGTTGAGGCAAGTGATAAATAGGAAGTACAGTCGCATTCTAGTCACCGGCGACTTCAACTTACATGCTCTAGAATCCAAGGCCACACCAGGAGAGCAATTCAAAGCAGACTTGCAAGATCTGGTTTCAGACTTCCTGATTTATGGCCACGTCACTACGCCCACCAGGTTCACGGGAACTAACAGACCATCCATATTGGATCGAATATTCACCAATGAAGAACTGATGGTCGAGAGAGTGATAACCGATACTCCTTTGGGCCGCAGTGATCATGCGACGCTAGTGTTTCATTACATGTGCTACGCGGATTATCCTAAAAAGCATGCCGAGGAATATCATGTCGTAACCAACTATGACGACCTGTCCGACCTCATTGATGCAACAAGCTGGTCGTTCTTAGCCGAATTAACCCCTGAGATGGCCTGCGGAGAATTCGTCAACATATTTACTAAGCTCGTGGCAAGGATATGTGAAAACAGACTCTGTCGGCCTAGAAGGATGAAGTCTTTCGTAAGGAGCAGGACACGTAAATGCATGGCATTAAGGGACTTAGCATGGCACACCTACATAGCCTCCCTGAACGACGATACCTGGGATGTCTACACAATACAAAGAAACCACTGTGTCAAACTCGTCCGGGAGGATAAACTGAAGAACCAACAAGG